TGAATGCCCGATCTCGAAGTCTCATGGCCATCTGTATACCCCTGGTCATCCAAGGTGCTGGCAATCGTTTAAGCCTAACCTTTTTAACCGGTGCATGAATTTCGTACAGTTTAGTCACTATTTCGTTAAATACGTGCACCTTGTCATCGGATTCTTTTTCTTCTTTTTTAATTCGACGTACTCGGTCTTTGCTCCTTTGGTGTTTGTCATACTTATCTTGCAATGTCGCTTGTCGGACAGAATCAGCTTCTCAGTAAAGAGTGCAAGTGGAGCATCGATCTTTTTTGGTTTAAAAAATGAATAATTGAACTTGGTGTTAAAAATGTTTTCATATTGCCGTTTAGAAGCTATCGGGCAGTCATAATTTACCTCTTGGAACCAAATTTGATATAGACGGTACATTTTACTCACATGTCTGGCAAAATCTTTTCTTACATAATGTGACTCGACTACAGGGAACAATTGAATGTGTTGGATAATATTTTCATGTGTTGAATGTGTTGCATTTTACGTGGCCTGTTATTATGGTGCCCTCTGTTATCAACTAAGCCTTTGTTAGATTTGACTTTTTCTAACGCCGTATAAACGTCTGATGCGAAATACTTAAAGTATTGACAAAAAAGGTTTTGCATATTTGCATCTTCTGCCCGTCTAATTGAAAATGATATTTGATTGACTGAGTACGATTGTTCTTTCGAACCAGAGTTACTCTCTTTACGTCTTCGGCTAATGTGTGGTTTGCAATATATTGCCACTGTAGCTCATGATCTTCAAGTGCATATTGCTGCAATAAAGCCTCTCTTTGCGCTTGTGTGATTCTTTCTCTACATTTCTTTGTACACTTACATTCAGCTTTTACTGTTTTTTTTTAAACTCTTTTTTAGATCCGCATCCCACATAAGCTTCTCCTGAATGCTTTAGTTTTTTACTTTTCTGGTCCTGTCTTTCACTTTCGTTTCGAATCCATTTTCTAGTTATTTTTTTCGCCGTACTTATAACATTTGCCGTAGTAGTTTCGTCTTCCAGACTGGTAGTAGTAGATTGTATCATGGGCACTTGTTTAGAAACAAAGGTACTGTCGCTTTCATGGTTATCTTCAATAAGGCTATTAAACTTACTCACAGCGTTGTGTTCACTTAAGTTCGATGGTTCTAAGTTTGAAAATGTTGACATATTATTTTTGTAATTAAGTAGGATACATTGTAACAATTTACTGTAGCTGCAGTTGGAAATGTTTTGATATTGTAAGTTTCATCCAATTGGCAGTTACCAATTTCAGAAACAGTATATTGTTTATTTACAGTCGGTTCACTGCTAGAAGAAGCTACAGTAAATTGACTTTGATTCTGACTTTCATTCTCTTGAATGCTGACTAAATCGAAAGCTACGTGGTTGCCATTAAAGTTATGAAGCACAGCAGGGATAGTATAGTTTAAGCAACGTCGAGTTGACTTTTTTATACCATTTTCATATAATGTTTCAGTATTATTATGTCAAAAGATGGTGATGTCAGTCTCTTGGAAGCAGTGTCATCACCGTAAACTTTATCGCAATCTGAGAGTTGACGGTTGTCGTATACTATTGAAGGCGATGCTATGAAATCAACTGAATTTAAAATGAAAGAAATATTTGAAATGGTTGAAGGCGTTTTTGAAATATCATGAGCTGCTTTAATATAATCAGAGTCTCCTCCAATACTTGACGGTGACGGGATAAACCGGTTTGGGCTTGGTACATATTCAGAAACATCTGGAAAAAAGTCTTCATTAACTTCTTTATCGTTATCTTCACAATATTGTTTTTTTTTGCTGATTCTGTAATACAAGATAAAAAAAATCATCGAATATCTCATAAAACTACCTCAAACTATGATAGGCCAAACAGGTTCAGCAGGTCAAAAAAGTTACGCTGTAGTTCAAATTTACTTCCTCCAGTGGACCTGCTGGTTTTTATCTTGACCTGGCGGTGGGGGCTCAGTAGTCATGAGTTGGAGGATGGCAACTCTTAACCCACGTTGAATCTAACGGGAACCATAGAAGAAGCTGCTTCCTCGAACTTTCGGTGCAACGTGACGTTCTTAACGGCTAAAAATTAAATGAATACGAGTATAAAAACACATTTATTAAACACATCTACCTCGTAAACTATGATGACACTTCGTTGTTTCTTCTTTATTTGTATTTTCAGGTAGTAAATTATCTGAAAATAATAATATTATTTTGATTTTGCAGACATGATAAAACAAATGTCTCAAGTACTCATAGCTATCAAACAGGTCATACAAGCATTTGGTCCGACCCGGGAATAGAACCCGATACCTCAGCACAGCAGTCGCATACGCTACTACTGCACCACCGAGGCAGTCAAGTCTCTCTGTAATACAGAGATTAATTATAATTTTTTAATGAAATCAAAATAATAATAAGAAAACCACAGTACTTACCGTCATTGCAATGGTTCAGATCCGCGAGCTTTTATCATAATAGTATTAATCCTCGAAGTCCTTTGATTCATATTAAAATACCTATATTACGACAAGGAAACTGTTTTCTGATTATTATACAGCCAACTTTAAGATAATATTATCGTTATTGTCTTAATCACACTTACACACGATAATTACTTTTATTAACTTGAAATCTTATAAAAACGGAATTATGATACTCATGCAACGAAGTTTTAAGAGACACTAATTAAGTAAACAAACATTGGCACGTGCGAGTATTATAGGAGATGGTGTATAGTGTCATCACTCTCTAACATTTGAATCACTATGTTCACTAACATAATGTTAGTCGCTGCACTTAAAAGTTTTTGAACGAGAATAAAACGATATTGGCGTTTAAAATTTTATCGTTGATTTCTTGCACGAGAATATAAGTGTAAAAGCTATTGCTATTTATTGTTTAATGAAACAATCATATCATTGTGTCTGGTAATCTTATTCGCGTTAATGTGCGCCTTAGAAAATTGGACGAGTAATATTGTAATATTTTTATAACTTTGTGAATAACGATAGAAAAATTAGGAAAAAAATTGAATGGATGTATTGGGCTCTGTAGACTCCAAATATGACATAGCACTAAAAATATGGTAATGTCAGTTGTCATTTTATTCTCCGGGGCCGGCGATGTGATCACCTTTTCTAGAAAATCTCATCCTATCATTTTCGATTACAGACCGAATGATAGGGTCTTGGGTAGAGTCACTGAGGTTCGTGATTTAGGAGTTATCTTGGATAGCAAATAACCCTTCATTCCTCATATAGATAAAACCATAAACAAAGCTTATAAGCAATTGCGCTTCATCTTGAGAGTTAGTAAACCCTTTAAAAATTCCTTAACCTAAAAGTTGTTGTACAACGCTTATGTGCGAAGTGGATTGGAATTTGCTTCTGTAGTCTGGCAGCCTCATTATCAAATTCACATCGATAAAATGTAAAGGATTCAGCGTAAATTTGTTAAAGCTCTCGATTTCCGCACTGGGCACATACATGTACACTAGTATTTGGCAGACGCGTCTGCCAAATACCATAACGTAACGTTATTAAAATATCGAAGGGACTTATGTGATGTTACTTTCTTATACAAACTATTAAATAACTATGTAGATTTCCCCTTTATTATTACAAAAAATAAATTTTCGAATTCCGTGCAGACCAAAAAGAAGCTGTCGTAACAGGAAATTATTCTCTGCTCCCCTGGCAACTACCTGTTACGCAAGTAATGTTTTCATTAGACGAGCCTGCCGTTTGTACGATGATGCGCTGTGTGAAGTTGATATTTTTCATCTATCTCTTGATTCTTTCAAGAAACGGGGTCTTTGTTGCCTTAAAAACTTTTCTTGATTATCTTTAACTTCTTTCTAAATTATCTGTTTTAACAAATTATCTCAAATTATCATTTTTTTGACCAAGATCTGACTGCTCTCGCCTCTGGGCATTTCCGCCAATGGCAAAAAAACCAGTAACAGCTACCTAGCAGCTAATTTTCTGGTTATTTTGGTGGTTTAAAAATTTAATAACCTTAAAAACCGTCTTCTCAATGATTATTATAACTATTAGTAATCAAATAGGTCAGGCATATCCCAAAAAAAAATGTTTATAACAAATAACAAACTGCATTTTCGCCGGTAATTAATTATTTACAAGAAAATTTACTGACAAATCGTCTTCAATATGACATTTCTTAATTCATATGACTCTTGTCGATATCCAGTTAAAAAAATAATATAATAATATTATGTACATATATGATCTTTTGCTTGTAACGTAAAGGCATATCAAAAATCAGTCCTTACCAAATTCATCATGAAATGTTATTTAGTGTGTTTTGAACGCATCCGTCCTCCATCTTAAGTGACGTGTCACGACGCGTAGAGCGTCAGTGTGCCGACAACCACCGTGGATTTTGGCTGTGTCTCTAATTACGGGTGTGGCGAGCGTTCCTTCACGAAAATATAAAAAGTGTCCCTACCAACAAAAAGTTATTTATACCGGTAATTAAATACTTTATTTTGTTTATTCCTGTGTGAAGTTATGTATAGAGGTGCAGTCAATCCCTGCACGATAGTTGGAAACAATTTAATTAGTAATTAAAGTACCTAATGTTAGAAAATGTTCAAAATGTCCTTACCCCTACTGTCCTTACCGTATTAATTTAGAGGCTACGGTAAGGACATTCAGGTTACGGTAATGACTGAATTTAACCAAGTTTTCTTGTTTTTTGGTCGATACGAGATATATATTTTTACCGCGGCAAAGCCTAAGATATGAATGAAGTACTTATATTATATCACTAAACGGCTGAACTTATTTTAATTAGTGAAAATATGAAATTTCAGTTATTTTTCTCCCAAAAATATATGCAACATGAAAATTTAATTTGGGATTAGTTTTTGGTTTTAAAATAAAGTTTTTCCTATTGTTGTCTTGTTGGCCCTGTCCTTGATTTTTGGTTTTAAGATTATTGCCTGTTTGTTTACAGTCAAACACAAAAAAAATGGCGAAGGTCAATTCGGCAGCAATTAAAGAGAGGAAGAATGTTAGTAAAAGGAACCATTATGAATTTGTCAAACTCAACGAGCCCGAAAAATATGCAGAATTGTTAAAAAAAGAAAGAGAGCGTTACCAAAAACGAATTGAAACCAAAAAGTTAAAAAACATTACAGATATGACAGAAAGGGAAAAGAGAGCGAAAAGAAAACAGTGGAAAATTAATAAGAGAAATTATAGGCGTAAGAAAAAAGAAAACTCCACGATACAAGAAGTAAATATTGAGCAAGCAGAAGAGGTTAACCAAAGTACCAACACTCAAGAAAAAGATCCACTGGAAGAGTTGAATGATAATCAAGATTCCCAAATTAACAGTCGAATGTCGAGGTTAACAAGATTAATAGGGCATCTTAAAAACAAGTTAAAGTTCCATGAACAGAAAATTCGAAGGCTTCAAAGTATTAACAATAGATACAGATTCAAAATACATAGATTAAGAAAGGACAAAAACAATCAAAGGCCAAATAAACAGTCTAAAATACATTTTCCAACTATTATTAACGAGATTCACAAATTTTATGAAGAGGACACCAATAGTAGACAAGCAGCAGGAAAAAAAGAATTTATAACAAGACAAGGAACTAAGAAGACAAAAAGGTACTTGGTGATGAGTTTAAAGAACCTCTACAATAAATTTATCACCACCAGTGAAATAAAAATTAGTTACTCTACCTTTTGCAAATATAGACCGTTTTGGGTCGTTTTTCCAAAACCGAATAACCGGGAAACATGCTCATGCGAAATTCACGTCAATATAAAGTTATTGATAGAAGCTCTACATAAGGCAAAGATTATAAACGAAAAAAGTGACTATGATTTTATAAACGCTTTATGTTGTTCACCAAAAACCGATAACTGCTTGTTAAAAACGTGTGAAGGATGCAAGGACAAAGAGATCATTTGCAATGAGTTTAATAATACAGATGTCGTAGAATTCAGTTACTGGTGCAAAATTAAGGAGCCTATTCTCGGTGACATTAATAAAGTTAAAATCATAACGACGAAGAAAAAAGAAAAAGCTAAACCTTTAGATCTTATTGAAAAATTACGAATCAATTCCAACCGATTTCTGAAACATTGTTTCACTATTGAGAAACAGTATAAAGAAATGAAAAAGTTAAAAGATTTCCTGCGTAATAATGAAGCAATTATCCACATGGATTGGTCAGAAAATTATGAGCTGAAATATCACGAAGAAGTCCAATCAATGCACTTTGGCGGTAGCCGCCGTCAAGTTGCCTTGCATACTTCTGTGCTATATCTCCACGAAGAATCGACTGGCCAAAAGATAACAAAGTCTTTTTGTTCTACCAGCGCTAACCTACGTCATGATGCTGCTGCGGTGTGGGCGCACCTTAAACCTGTACTTGACTATATTTACCAGATAAACACAAATGTCGACTCAATACATATTTTTACAGACTCTCCAAGCAGCCAATATCGAAACAAAAAGATTTTTTGGATAATGACACAAATACACAAAGATTATGCGGGATTTTTAAATAAGTTATCTTGGAATTATAGTGAGTCCGGCCATGGAAAAGGGGCTGCAGATGGAGTAGGTGCCGTCCTTAAAACAACTGCTGACAGACTCGTCAACTTTGGTCAAGATATAGGTAACTTCAACGATTTTTATAATATTTTAAAGCAAAACATTCCTAATATAAAAATAGAGGTAGTTAGTGACACCTTCATTATTGCAAAATCGAACAGCTTACCTCTTTGTTTACCAACCTTTAAAGGCACCCTTGATGTACATCAAGTTCTATGGGATATATTCTGTGGTCAAGATCTCACATTCAGAAACTTCAGCTGTTTTATCTGCGAGGCGAATGTTCAATGCGAACATGGTGCACATCTCGGGTTCCTTAGAGTACCTGATTTTACACATTCCGTCGAGGTTACAACATTAGCTGATGCAAGAAATATGAGTGCTAATATTCCTATTTATGTGACAGTTGCCACCACTCAAGATGATTCTCAAAATAATACTGTTTTTACTGAATTATCTAATATTGATCCTGTTACACTAAGTACGCCATCAACATCTAAATCTTACATGGCCACCTTTTGTGATTTTGAGGAATTAGTACCGGCAAATAGCCTAAGTAGTCTAGAAATGTTAAAAGAAAACGTTGAACAACTTCCTATTGGGAGTACCAGTGGTGAAGTGTTGAATTTACATGTTGCCGATTGGGTTTTAATTAAAAAGACTCGCAGAGCAATAAAGCATCAAATAGGTCGGGTAATTGGAATATGTGGTGATAATATTTCGATATCAGTTCTTAATAAAGTACCAGGTGGATTTCGATGGCCAAAGTTACGAAAAAGGGAGGTGATTTCTATGAACTGTATTAAAGCAGTTCTGCCTGAACCAAATATAGATGCCAAACTTAATTTTCACTTTGAAAATATTGATTTCATACATTATTAAATCTGTGTGATCTTGATCGACCAAAATTAAAAAATGTGATTACATAATACAAATTATACACACGAATATTTTTTTATTTTGTATGATTGATCATTTTGGTTTAAGGATTTTTCTAATTAAGTGTTTGAGTTGAGTGGTATCCGTTTCTATCGAGTAACTAAAACAAAAGATCATGATTATATGTGTAGTTGTATAATGGCTAAAGTTTAAATTTTATCTGTTTCTGTTACTTAATTGTAATAATTACCTATTCTGTGATTTAAGGGAATTATATAATATTTAAAACTGATTTAAGTAATAAAAGTGTTATGTTATTACAAATTATTTACAATAATAAAGTTGATTATGTTTACCTGTTTTTAGTTTCAATTTTAGTGTTGTCATGTAGTCCAGGACCATAAAATGCTAGTTACAATTACTGTCTGAATTATAACGGTCATTATCGTGTAACATTTGTCCTTACCGTTCGTTCAATAAATTAATTTTTATAGACCTTAGAAATAAATAAAGAAGTAATGACTACTTTTTTATTGATTCTCTACCAATTATACTTATTTAATTTTAATATTTATTTACATATTTTGTCTTTACCGGAACTTTTGAGTCTTTACCATTTTTTAAATGCAAATTAACGACGATACCGTTTGACATAATTAGTGTACATACAAAGTGGGATATTTGTGATTACTGTGATAATGCGTTACGCCTATTTAAAAAAAAATGCCTGACACTTTTTTTCATTCCGTCAAAAAGTGCAGTTTGGCGGAAATGCCCCTCTGACAAAAATGTAAAAATTTATTAAAATGATTTGGATTGTAATCGTATACACACATGATCTAGATGTTCTATTAACTTAGGGAACTATTAGGTCTATAAGTACATACAAATATGTTTAATCTTTAAATATAAATGACTGTTTGTTCCTCAATAAAATTAAATAAAATAAAAAAATAAAATAAATTAATAGATAACGGGTTTTAGACAAGAGTTGTAACATTGTAATTGTGTAAATAGAAAATAATAAATTGTAATTAGGTATTAAAATAATTTATTGTACTTATCTAGACACGCGGCATCGTGTCCAGCCAAGTTTAAAGAAAAAGGAACTGGCGACGCAGTATCCGTGTGTAATATATTACACGAATCATTTCGAGCTACTTCTGACCCTTTCACAACTCGAAAACTATTTAACCTACATATATGAAATTTAGCACATTTATCAATCCAATCCAATCCAAATATTCATAAATTTTGCTCAAACAGTTACTGACACATTAAAGTTTAAAAAAAACCGGTTAGGCACGAGTCGAACTCGTGCGCCGAGGGTTCCGTACCTACCCAGATTTTACGTAGATTTTCGCGAAGTAAGTACTAAAAATTATTTTAATTTTCAACTTTTTTTGCATCCCGCTAACTATCTATATGAATGGTTAGTTTTTTTCACTAAATCAAGAACTGTTTCGAACTTATAATAATAAGTAATTTAATGTTTTATTTTACCTTTACAAATCGATACATGCACCCTTTTTTTTTGACGGTGAGGCAGTACCCTTGAAATATTGGCGCCCGATTTAGATTTGATGGCTTAAACTGCGGAGACTGAAGAAAAGTTGTTTCCTAAATGATTAAGTCACAAAAGGTCTTGGTGTGTAAGTGCTTGTATCGCAGTATAATTTTACATTGCTGCCGGGGATCGTGATTTTTGCAGACGAAGAGAGAATGCTCACAGCCAATGCCCTGCGTTCCCTATCCCTATCTAGGTCATCCCTCAAATCCTCGGTCACAATGTGACCCAGATATTTAAACTGACTTACTCTCTTTAGAGGTAAGTCAGTTTCAATATAGTGTGTAACCGGACCGTGTGTGAGTGTAACCGGAGGGACATCGGTAGAGTTCTTATTACTACCTCTGAATACCAACAGTTCTGTATAGGAATTCAGGACTTCTCGAAATAAAAAGGCAGGCGTGTGGACTGTATGCTGTGAGCTTTTATAATGAACTTACAAAATGACAAAAATTAAATGAGACAGAACATTCATGAAATGATTATGACAATGAGCTTACACTATCAGCATTAGCATATTGCTAACGCATTCGACGTAGGCGCTCCAACATGCCCCCGGGCGTTGAAAGTGCCACTTTCAACAAGATTCCGAAGATACCGGTAAATGGGACTAATCCCGCCCACATGCCCACCACTGTAACTCCTGTACACCAGGATCCACAGCAGTGACTCACGAACACACCGAGTTATGACACTCGGGAAGTCCCAGGAAGAAATTAAACTGTCTTGGAACCCGCAACGAAATTAATCAGAAGAAAATTGGAGGAGTTGGAAATACAGTAAATCCACTTCCCTCCTTAGCAAAGCGGGAGACAAAATGAAGTAAAATGGGCATACACCCTTTTAAACAGGGAAGCACCACGGCCACAAATATTACGGGTCCTACGTGAGCTATGTTTGATTTCTATAATATGTATGGCAGAATCGCTTAAACGCACGGAAATTCACCCTAGTTGACACAAGATCCCCATAGTATACCGCCCCAGATGTCACCTGCAAGCTATTCAGCATTATATTACGTTCATTATACCAAAGACTACATTCCCAGAGAATATGATGAGCAGACTGTTCATAGTGAGAGTTAGGTGTTGAGCATTGACACAATGGTGACTCGACTAATTTAAATGAATAAAGCTTGCTCTTAAAGTTACCATGACCCGTAAGAAATTGAGCGACACAGTGATCCACCTCAAGCCATGTCCTCGACAACCATTCGCGAACAGATGGAAAGAATTGGTAAAGATGGCGCCCCTTGGATGATTCATCCCAGCGTTGTTGCCATTCGTCTATGAGGTCATTATAGACATCGGACTGCTGTTGAAGCAATTTTGTAATTTTACCGCGATCCCGCGCGCCCAAAATATCGCATTCCATGTTTTGTTGTCTTGAATAGTACATGGCTGCACGTCTCTGCAGCAAGATACCGGTCATGGACATATCCTGTGCCATTTGAGGTCTGGATGTCGGCGACACGCACGATTCCGTCACATCCCGGGTGAACAGCCGTAATCCTTCCGAATCTATACTGCAGAGGCGGAAGATTATACTTCTTTATGACAATCAAGGTATCAACCTTCAAGCCATCTTTACAAGAGCGCCACTTGACGCGTTGCTGCAACTTAGCAATGAACTCCTTACTCCATCTCGTCCAGAAATGCTGGCGGAGCTGTTCGATGCACTGATACCGACTGAGAAAGTTAGCGGAATGCTCTTCAAAATTTGGCTGCGGCAGGGACGTGAGCGGGCGACCGACGAGAAAATGACCTGGTGTCAGCGGAGTGCAATCAGCAGGGTCCGAAGATAGTGGCGTTAATGGGCGTGAATTTAAAATTGCCTCGATCTGTACTAATGTGGTGTTAAGCTGTTCGAAGGTTAAATTACAATTGCCCAACAGTCTTTGTAAATGGTACTTGGTAGATTTAACACCCGCTTCCCAAAGACCGTCGAAGTGAGAGGTATAAGCAGGAATAAAATGAAAGTTGATTCCCTCATTCACCATACTCGCACCCAAGGAATCTCTAGAAGTCTTTAAAAATTTGGAAGGTCGTTGTACGCACCAACAAATGAGGTACCGTTATCGGAGTACGGATGTACGGGCTTTCCTCTCCGTGCTGTAAATCTATGTAAAGATAGTAAGTAAGTGCTGCTAGTCAAGTCACCTAAAGCTCCAAATCTATAGCCTTAGTTGTGAAACAAATGAAGATGGCAATGTATACCTTCACGAGCCTACAACCGTGACCTGGACGATTAGCACACATAATAGGGCCGGCATAATCGACGCCTGTGGTTTCGAAAGGAAAACCATTGTGATTGATGACAGATTACGCACCTATGGTAATAGGACTCTCTTATTGAAACCAACAATGGTTAAGAACCTGCGTGCATTAACCTCTTATGCTCATCATTAAAAAGTAATTTTGTGAAGTTGTGTGGACTCTAATATATTTTTTTTTTTATTTATTTAACTTTATGCACTATTGTAGGTACATCGGCGGACTTAATGCCCAGGGCATTCTCTTCCACGATGGGACTTCGGATATCATTTCCGAGGTCTGGTCCCTAAGTTGGTTGGGGCAGCGCGTGCGTTGGCGCGGCTGCTGCCCAACATGAAGGGACCCGATGACTCCTGCAGGAGACTCTACTCGGGGGTTGTGCGGTCCATGGCCCTTTACGGGTGCCCGGTATGGGCGGGGGCCCTGAAGGCCAGCAACGTCGCGATACTGCGACGACCGCAGCGAATGCTGGCCATCACGATCATAAGGGGGTACCGCACGATCTCCTTTGAGGCAGCGAGTCTCCTGGCCGGAACTCCACCGTGGGACCTGGAGGCGAGAGCCCTTGCGGCACTGTATCAGTGGCGCAAGGAGGCGCAGGAGTTGGGTCGATGCCCCGAGATTCGAGAAATCGATGACCGGAAATCCCAACTCCGCCAGGTCATCATAGGGGAGTGGAGGGAACGACTCGTGCAACCGAGCGCTGGGCACGCCGTCATTGCGGCGGTAAGACCCGTTATGGAGGATTGGCTCGAGAGGCGTCACGGGACCCTCTCATACCGATTGACGCAGGTGATCACTGGGAAGGGATGTTTCGGAGATCACCTGTGTCTGATCCGCAAGGAGCCAACGCCTGAGTGCCACCACTGCGATGGCCAGACCGTGGACACGGCTCTCCACACGCTGGCAGAGTGCCCGGCGTGGGTTGAGCAGAGGCGAGACCTCGTGGCGGCCATCGGAGTGGGAGTTCTCTCGCTCGATAGCCTGATTGCGGCTATCGTGCGGAGCGAGAGTGCGTGGAACTCTGCCGTCTCCTTCTGCGAGCAAGTTATGCTCGCGAAGGAGACGGCGGAGCGGGACCGGGAGAGGTTTAGAACTCTCCCGGCCCGCCAGGCCCGGGCACGGGCCAGGCAGCGCAGGCGAATCAGGCGCCGGAGGTCGCA